CAACTTCTATGACCAGTCCAGAAAAGGAAGCCCAGTCTACAAAGAGAATTGAGGTGAAATGAGGATGGAGGAAGCAAAAAGAGCCTAAAATATGGCATGACTTAGTAGGTATTCCATTGCAATGGTAAAGAATCAATTTGCAAGATAATATTAAACCTATCTTCTATATCCTTTCTGTTTATTCTTTCTATCAAAAGTATTGTTTTTTGATTTAAAAAATTGTTTACTCTTTCAGAAAGCAATAGTGAAAATGTTCACAATTGTTGTGGGTTCATATGTTTGCCTCAAAATGCTGTCAGCTTTCACTTCATGTGTTTGGAAGATTGTTATTAGATACGTAAATATTTAGAATGATTATGGCCACTTGATTAATTGACACGTTTATCATTATGAAATGTACTTTATTTCTGGTAATACATTTATATTGGGCTACAAAATGTGTCTCCATAAATGTAAATGAATTCAATTCATGCAAACTATGAGGTTGTTTTTTTTTTTCACCATGGCATGATATTAGAATTCAGTAACAGAATATCTGAAAAATCTCTAAATATTTTCAAATTAAATAGCACATGTCAAAATAATTAATAGACTTTTTATTTTTAAAGTATATGAATTATATGTTAGTGAAATTATTTTTAAATAAATAATTTAAATTTTTAATGAGCATTCTGATTGCATTTATTTTAAGACTGACAAAGAGTATTGTTCATTCTTCTGGCAGTGCACAGTATATTACATATCTTTGTCAACATCACAGTCCTGATGAATCAATAATTCAAAATCTACTGCAGCCATACATCGACAGGGAACTGCCGGGATTTCAAGGCAGATTCAGAAGAAAATGTGGAACAAATGGTATCATTGTTCATGCTGAATTAATCTTGGTCTAAAGGAGTAGGAACACTAGAAAGATGCTTTCCTGTGCATTATCAATTACAGAAAAACACTAATAATAGTGGATTATCAGAAATTATGGGTAATATGAAGAATGGAAATTCCAAATCACTTCATTATGTTCATGTGAATCATTCACACAGAATTAAAGCAGTTGTACTAATAAAACGAGAGGCATTGAGTGGTCCCTTTCTGCAGTGTTCAGAATTGGAAGGTTATAACCTTTCACACTTGTTCAATCTGTATGTTCAACAGAATCTACGAAGTTGGCTTATATGAAGAAAAATGAAGCATCAGGAAGACTTATTATTAAACTGCAGATGCTGCAATCCCCTTGCTTGCCAAAAATGAAGACAACTTGAAGCACCACTGAGGAAGGTCTGAAACTTCAGTCTTCAGTATCAATTAGATCTCTGAACCTGAAGAAAATGAACGTCTTAACCACTAAACCAGTAAACACTATCATAATAAATGAGGAATAAATTAAAATTTCCGATGATTTCATACTTGTTGGACCAACAATCAACATCTATGGACACAGTAGATAAGAAATCAGATATTTGAGCAAATCTTTAACAAAAGATCTTTTTTTAATATATTATGCAGTACTCATTATTCTTCTATTTGAACATTCTATTCTTAGTGTAGCATACCTCATTGACTGTAAAATATCTTTTTAAAGTTGAAAGAGCAAAATGTCACTTTGATGACTAAAGTGCACTAGACTGAAACTCCGTGACCTTCCCAATCACCTCATAAGCATTCAAAAGGTGGACAATGGGTTGGGGGTGGTGGGGGAAGTCAGAAGAACTGATGCATTCAAATTGTAGTGCTGACAAAGAAATTTAGAAACAGGCCCACTGGAAGAACAACATCAGAATATAGCACTAATAGAAAGATATAGTTAAAGTGAGCTCATTGGTTTCTAGAATTATAAAGAAAAGAACTGAAAAGTATGTCTGAAGTATACCTAAATCAAAAATCCCATTTCCATCGAGTAGATTCTGACTTATAGTGGCCCTGTCTCCATTAGTATTGCTCCATCGGGTTTCTGAGACTATAAATCGTTATAGCAATGGCAGCTGCATCTTTTTTCCTGAAGAGCAGCTGAAGGGCTGGAACCACCAACCTTGTGGTTAGCAGTCCAATGGTATCTAATTGATTTTAAAGGAGTTCCGGTAGCTCAGTGGTTCAAACGCACTAAGTAGCTCTGAGGAGGAAGATGTGGCTGTCTGCTTCCACAAAGATGTCCTGGGAGCGCTAGGGCCACGTCTCCTCTGTATGGTACAGGGTAGCTATAAATCGCAATGGTCTCCACAACAACAGGCAATCACTCTCACTCGCTGCCTTCAAGTCAATTCTGGCTCACATCAACCACTTTTAAATAAACATACTGAATCAAGGTCTCTAAGGAAGCTTCTTTGAGTTTTCCAACATATATAATTCAATATATAATATTAATATGTTTAAATATAAATCATATAATTGAATATATTGCCATTAAATTATAAACTATTGTAATAATTTAATTTATTCTGATAATTGCATGTTCTATATGATAATTACAATATGTCATGATAAATTAAATATAAATAATATACAATTAAAACAGTATAATGTAATATAACAATTATATATATGTTGACTAAATATTCTGTGAAAAAATAAATTTACATCTAGGTATATGCAATGGCACAATGGTGAAGCCCTCAGCTGGTAACAGAAAAGATGGCACTTAAAACACACCCAATGATCTGAGTGAGAAATAGCTAGTGATCTGATCCCACAAAAAGCCTAGAAAACACTGTGGGCAGTCCGATTCTTTCATATGGACTCGCTATGAATTGAAAACCAACTTAACAGTGTCTAACAAAAATAGATACACCTTACTATGTGCTACCATATCACTAAATAATTTAGCAAAACCCTTATATAATGAATTTTAATTTGATAAAAGCTTATAATTTATTCTGCTTAATTTTTCTAATAGCATTTCTCCTCCCCCCACCACAAACCTGGGGATAGCCTGAATGTCCATCAATAGAGGGATGATTGAATGGTACTTTATACTGTGATTAGATCTTTGAGCATTATCTGAAACTTTTTTCATGATTTAATGAAATGAGCTATTTAAAGTCTGGTAATCCTGGGATAAGCATTGGGTTACTAACCACAGTGTCAGAGTTTCAAGTCCACCAACCAATACAAAGGATAAAGACAAGGCTGTCTGCTCCCATGAAGACACTCAGTCTCAGAAAGACTTTATGAGGCGAATCGGACTCTATTCAATGGCAGTGAATTTGGCAGTGGGTCTAAATTTAAGATGCATGCATGCATACCCACTACTTTGAATAAAATGTAGCATTTGGGGCCTAAAGAACTGACAAAGCTCATATCAGTGGTTAAGTCCTGAAATTTTTGCTTTAAAATAAAATTATTGAGGCATAGTGTAACAAATTATGTCTAGGACAAAAGTAGATAAATTCTAAAATATTTTCTGCCATTAGGCAGGTCATTTATTCCATCTGCATTAAAGCTTCCTGAACTAAAATTAAGGATGTTTCCTTTTAGACTTAAGATTCTAAATATTACTCTATAATTATATCTCAGTTCTTGAGTCACTGAAATATCCAATAGGAAAACAGAGATTATGCCTTTCACGATTATCAAGGGATAACTTTCATTTTTCAGAATTAATATTTATTCTCACTTCCAACCTCAACTGGAGATAGGTAGTTCAGTTACCTGGATTTTTAAAATAATCATGCATAATTTTTCTACTCTTTTTTGTAGGGTAATTCTAAAATTTAATGATTTCTGGAAATTCTTTCCAGAATTGAACATTTGCTGGCAAATTGTAATTTAAGAGGAGTACGTAATAAATTTGACTTGATTGATCTCACAGCCAAGAAGCGAAGATGTGAGAGATAAAGCAGAAAACATCTGTATGCCAGTATTTGTTATTAATGCTGGGGCTACTAGATCCTTCTTGATTGGACTCCAGGATGGTAACGCAAGTACACAAAAAGCCAACATTTTTCTAGTGCTAGTACATTTTTCATATATATATATATGGTTTATATTATAATCTTTTGCTTTTATTCTTATGTATGCATATAACATAAACTTGGGAGAAAGAAGAGGTTTTCTACTCCATAAAGAGTCACAGTCTCAGAAACTCACAGGGGGAATTCTATTCTGTTCTATAGTATGGCTAGGAGCCAGAATCAACTTGACGGAAGTATGGATGAAGCATATTATTTACAAAGAGTTCATGAGCAGGTAGAATTAAAAGATAATGGTGGAATTTTTCCACACACATTTTAAAGCCCCATTTTAGAATTTGTGTATATGTATATATATATAATTTAATCCTTATCACAGTTTAATCCTTATAATAATCTTTTGAAGTCAGGATTATAACCTTCATTTTCAGGACAAGAAAATTTAATACCAGCAAAACTACTACTTAGAAAAGTAGATATCCTCAAACCTTCTTATCTTTGTAGTATACCACAAAATAATGTTTTAAAGTTAAAAATCACACTAAATTCTGAATATCAACATGATATCTCACGTAAGCCTAGAGACCTTTATTGCTTTAAAAATGACAATAAAGTTTTTTTTTTAACCTACACTTTAAATGGATATTTTTTGTAATATTCAAGGATTGAATTGGGTGATGGACAGTTCCATCAAGTAGACTTTTCAAGTGTCTATCAAGGCAAAAATGTTGAAAACTTTGGGTAGATCTTAAATTTGGTGTTATAATTAGCTTCAACATTACATAACTTAAAATAACTTTTCCTGACAACTGTCTTTCAAAAAACCCCAAACAAAGAGAATGTAAAGAATTTTAATGAATAATTACACATTGTCTCTGAAAGGTGATTTTTATCAATGTCATCATTTTCTTTACTCAAATGCTTTGACAAGTGTGACAAGTATGCACAGTGAGTTCTGACTTTGATAGCAACATACCTTTATAGGCATTCCCAACTGAATGCTGTTTTGTAAAATTTCAATTATTCAATACTGACATTTACATTTTTACCAAACTGACACTTTTAGCCCATCCTTTGTAGGCAGTGGTGAACACTTACTTCCTTGAGCTTCCTCATCTTTCCAGGTCTTCTGGGAACTATGTGAAAATAACTGCAAATGAAAGAAAAGAAGCATAGATTAGAAGATTCCAAAAGAACGTTCAACCCTCTTTACAGAGGGCTTCTTTACAGCATTAAGATATAAATCCCCACAGAAATTAAAAAGTAAAATAAAAAGCACTGTAAATGCTAGATTATAAATCAATATACACCCATTCCTCAATGATCAACTTACTAAATGAAGTACACTTATTTAATACAGCTCTTCTAAAGTGTTTGTAATTCCTACTAAATGACTGGGTAGGACTATGTAAATGTGAAGCGTTTGTGGCCCTCCAAGGTACCTGGTACCCATGTGAATAGAATCATGTCAATAGGAGGTATAGAAGACCTGAGGAGCTGTGGGATGACATTAAAAACATGAGACACAGAGAAAACAAAAGTCAATTAAAAGACAGGAAAGAAAAAAAAGAAGATCAAAGTGGATATCAGAATCCTAAAACTTGCTCTTAATTGTAGAATGGCTAAGACAAATAGAAGAAATGATGAAGTCAAAGAGCTGAACAGAAAATTTCAAAGGGTAGCTTGAGCAGACAATGAAATATGCAAAGACCTATAGTTAGAAAATCAGAGGAAGAACCCACAGAGCCTGTCTTAAACTGAAAGAACCAAAGGAAAATTCAAGCTCTGAATTGCAATATCGAAAGATTCTATGCACAAAATATTTAATAATGCAGGAAGCATCAAAAGAAGATGGAAAGAATAATCACTGTAACAAAAAGAACTATTCAACCATTTCAAAAGGTAACATCTGAGCACAACCCAATGATACTGAAGGAAGGAATCCAAGCTGTACTAAAAGCATTAGCCAGAAACAAGGCTCCAGGAATTGATGGAATACCAACTGAAATGTTTCAGCAAACTGAGGAAGCACTGGATGCATTCACTCATTATGCCAAGAAATATGTAAGGCAGCTGCATGAATAACTGATTGGAAGAGATCCATATTTGTACCCATTCCAAAGGCAGGTGACCCAACAGAGTTCTCAATAATAGAGCAGCAGCATTGATACAACATGCAAGTAAAATTTTGCTGATCATCCAGCAATTAAACTAGTTCAGCTCACTAACGCCTAGAAGATCAATCTTTATGAATTCCATTTCATTTGAAATAACTTCTAATTATCCTAGATTCATATTTTGTACCTTCCAAGTTTCAATTAAAAAAAAATTTTATTGGGGGTTCTTACAACTCTTATCACAATCCATACATATATCCATTTTATCAAACACATCTGTACATATGTTGTTATCATATTTTTCAAAAATTTTTCTTTCTGCTTGAGCCCCTGGCAACAGCTCCTCATTTCCCCCAACTTCCCCCGTGTTCCCGCCCCCATGCCCTCTGATAATTTATAATCTATTCTTTTTTGTTCATGTCTTACACTGCTGTCTCATTTCATCCACTTTTCTGCTGTCCGTCCCCCTGAGATGGGGGCCATAAATTGATCATTGTGATCAGTTTCCCCTTTCTCCACCCCCCACCTTTACCCTCCTAGTATCGCTGCTCCCCTTATTGGTCTTGAGGAGTTTACCTGTTCTGGATTCCCTGTGTTGCGAGTTCATATCTGTACCAGTATATATGTTCTGGTCTAGCCAGATTTGTAAGATAGAATTGGGTTCATGGTAGTGGGAGTGGGAGAGGAAGCATTATACTACACCCTGAACTGGCTCTTCTCTTCCTTGTGGCCATTCTGACAAGGGGTGTCCAATTGACTACTGATGGGCTTTGGGTCTCCACTCTACCTTCCCCCTCATTCCCATTGATAAGTTTTTTGTTTGTTTGTTTGTTTGTTTGTTTGTTTGTTTGTTTGTTTTGGGTCTTTGATGCCTGATACCTGATCACATCGACACCTCATGATCACAGAGGTTGGTGTGCTTCTTCCATGAATTATCAAAACCCGAATAAAGGCTGAACATGATAGTGGGATGGGAGGAAAGTAAAAAAAAATAGAGGAAAGAACTGGGAGGCATAGGACATTTATAGAGGTCTAAATTACAGGCATGTATGTATGTAAATACATTTATATACAATGACAGGGGGGAATAGAGCTATGTACACATACTATTTATAAAGCATTATGGTAGCATATGGACATTGGGCCTCCACTCAAGTACTTTCTCAATGCAAGAACAGCAAAGTACCAACACGGCACTTTGTGATTTTCACCTTCCCTGACACGATCGCTAAAGATAAAGCGGATGCATAAGCAAATGTGGTGAAGAAAGCTGATGGTGCCCAGCTATCAAATGATATAGCATCTGGGATCTTAAAGCATTGAAAATAAACAAGTGGCCACCTAGCTCAGTAGCAACCAAGTTTCAATTATTAATTGATATTTGCAGCTGTTTCTTTTCATTTTAAGTTGTGTTCCATTAGCAAATAAGCCCCTGAAGGCTCATTCCATCTACGTCATGGCTCATTCCATCTACGTCATGGCTGATTCTACTTTGAGAAGGCAGCTCTTCCTCAATCATATTTTGAAAGATTTCTGACCTCAAGGACTCACCTTCTGTAACTATATCTAACAATGTTTTGCTGACATACATTCAGTTTTTAGTAACTGACAGAGTTTCTATGCTATCCATAGCGTTTTCAGTGGCAAATTTCTCTGAAGTGCAAAGTTTTCTATATTATTTTAGAAATAATTTTTAATAATTAATAATAATAATAAATACCTTAAGACACATTATTAACTAGTGTTAAGGTTTTTCCTGATTAAAAAGGTGAGAAGGGTGTAGGAGGCCTGGTAGGGCGTAACCAAATGTAATGTAACAGAGGAATTACTGTTACCCCAATGAAGGCTGAATATGATAGTTGGACAAGAGGAAGGTAAAAGGAAATAGAGGAAAGAGCCAGAAGTCAAAGGGCATATATAGAGGCATGTACATATATAAATATATTTATATATGAGGATGTGGAAATATATCTATGTGCATATATGTATAGGTTTAGTATTAAGGTAGTAGAGGGACATTGGGCCTCCACTCAAGTACTCCCTCAAAGCAAGAATACTTTGTTCTATTAAACTGGCATTCCAAGATGCTCATCTTCCCGACACAATCACTGAAGACAAAGCAGGTGCATAAGCAAATGTGGTGAATAAAGCTGACAGTGCCCAGCTATAAAAAGATGTAGTATCTGGGGTCTTAAAGGCTTGAAAGTAAACAATTGACCATCTAGCTCAGAAGCAACAAAACCCACATGGAAGAAGCACACTAGCCTGCATGATCATGAGGTGTAGAAGGGATCAATTATCAGGCATCATCAGAACAGAAAATCATATCATTGTGAATGGGGGTGAGTGCAGAATGGAGATCCAAAGCTCATCGGTAGGCAATTGGACATCCCCTTACGGAAGGTTCGGGAAGAGGAGACGAGTCAGTCAGGGTGCAGTGTAGCAACGATGAAACATAAACTTTCCTCTAGTTCCTAAATTCTTCCTCTCCAACCCACCCCCACTACCATGATCCCAATTTTACTTTACAAATCTGGCTAGACCAAGGGATGTACACTGGTACAGATAGGACCTGGAAACACAGGGAATCCAGGGCGGATGATCCCTTCAGGACCAGTGGTGAAGGTGACGATGCTGGGAGGGTGGAGGGAGGGTGGGGTGGAGAGGGGGAACCGATTACAAGGATCTACATATAACCTCCTCCCTGGGGGGCAGACAACAGAAAAGTGGGTGAAGGGAGACATCAGACAGTGTAAGATATGACAAAATAATAATTTATGAATTATTTAGGGTTCATCGGGAGGGGGGAGCAGGGAGGGAGGGGAAAAATGAGGAGCTGATGCCAGGGGCTTAAGTGGAGAGCAAATATTTTGAGAATGATGAAGGCAATGAATGTACAAATGTGCTTTACACAATTGATGTATGTATGGATTGTGATAAGAGTTGTATGTGCCCCTAATAAAATGATTTTTTTAATTATACATGTACATATATTTATGTATACACTGGACATTGTTCTCATTTTGCATGGTTTTAGCATTATATATAACAGAATTATTTAGTAGATGGAAGGGGAAATATTGCTTTTTAACTCATATAATAAGAACAGGCAAATGTAACAGACTAAAGTGTATTATTAATTACTTGAGATGGAGGTGGGAGGAGTTGTGGTTGATGGAAAATTCCCCTTAACTAAGAGTAAATCTGCACTTTATTTCAATTGCTGTCAACAAATTGTATACTAGTAAAAAGTTGAGTTGGAAAAAATGTATTCTATATAGTCACAAACTCAGATGCTACAGAGATCAGGGAGGTAAAATTTCATAATTATACATTTGATCATAAACATTAACCTATCAAATGAGAACTGTAAACAAAAAATGAATGAAAATTATTAATTCAAAAGAGTCTAAGAAACACAAAATGCTATATTTTGTTTCAGTGTTACATTCCAGAGGGTATGGGACACATTCCAGAAGATCTATAGAGGATACAAAGAATTGCTCAAAAATTCAATGAGCTGGGATTTTTAGAGCAGGCTCTTGGAAAGTTGATTGGTTGAGTTTAATTTGCTTGAAGATGGGCCTGGGAAATACTATTTCAAGCAGAAACTAGACAGTTCACTTCTTGCTACTTCAGAAAATAAAGAAACAGACCACCAACAGTTAAAATCAGAGCTAGGAATTTTGCTACTTTATTTATTTCTCCCAAGAATACTGTGGAATAAAATATTAATTAATACCACTTTGTTGGTGCAGGAACTAAGGCTTAATTTGCTAAATGTTGTTCAGATAGAAAAAAAACAAATTTCAACTCAACCCAGGTCTCTTAACTCTGAGACTAGCATTCACCTCTCCCTCCCCCACAGTTGCCTTTCTACTCACTTCCCTCCTTTTCCTATTGCTTTCTACTCCCCAAGGTGTAAATGGATGATAAAGAAGATCCGATAAGATATAGAATAACAATGACAGTTTAATTTAAATCTCACTGCCAGAGAGTCAATCTGACTTTATAGGACAGAGTAAAATCACAC